GAAATTTGGTTATAACCAATCATTATCATGTTTAGCTTAGTCATCCCCGTTAAGTAACGATGAATTATTGTTAAAAAAGTTATTTGTATGCGCCGTATCATCGAAATTCTCTCGGTAGTACAAATAATCTGATTTTAATAAAAGAACCTACTCAATAACTTTATTTAGAAGCCTGAAAGCAATTTAAAAATTTTAGTAATTTATAAAATATAAAAAAAATACTACGTGTCAAGTTTATGTACTCTATTTGCATTCGCGGCGTATACGAGAATTCTAAACGGCACTTGATTAGGTAATTAATTTAGGGTTCCAAACCGGTTTGAAAATCTCTACCCGTGACCGAAATTAACTAAATTAAAACGGGTATATCAAGTCACCCGTTTGTCATATCAAGCCAGTTTGTTAAAAATATGACCCAGTTGGTAATATTTTCGGTTCGGGGTCGGGTACACGGTTATCCAGGTCATAGGTTTGGTAAAATGTACAATTATTTTAATACTTTTTTGTAGAATTTTTCTGCAGAAGTCTACGGTTAAAAATTTAAATATTCTACGTATACGTAGCATATCATCTACTTACTAGTATTTCAATAATATTATATGGTTTTTTTGTTTTTGGTTTATTAAATTTGCCAAATTATTGAGCAGTCGAGATTTCGAATTTTTGGATATCTTTTGATAAATGAAATGTTTTTAATCTTGATAATCGGGTACTCTTGTCTATTATGCATGCACAAGGGTGATATATACTGTAATATCATTTGTTTCTAACATGAGTAACCTTCCAGTTATATGGATATATGTTGTAACATAATCTTCAAAAAATACACTTGATTTTATCCAATTCTACAGCATTTTTCGGAAAGCTTTCAAAATTTCAATGAATACATTATACTTTATTTGTAGTTTATACTAGGCTAATAAGCGGGTATTAACGACGTGGCCATATTATGTCATTCTCTAAAAAAAAATTGAGAGTTAAACTGCAAACTTTCGTGGAATCTGTGGCCCCACGTGTATTTGTAAGTATATGCACCTGCATTTGGAAGATCTTACTATGATTTTAATCTTGCAAAAAAAAAATAAAATAAAATAAAAAATATTAAAGCTGACATGTGAGAAAGACGGACATGCACGAGAGGTCGCGTGATTGAGAAAACGCGCAGTAATAATAGTATTTTGGCACAGTATAAAATTGAAGGCGTACATATAGTGATAGCTCAAAATTATTGGTATATTCTATGCAGTTGCCAAATATAACAATACTATGAAGCTATTATCCAAAAATGTTTAGTTACTTAAATTTTTATAAACAGGCCGACGTCTCAATAACAAAGATTTGTATGAACCAATTTAGTGAATTCAATATCACACTACCGATAGGTTGATATTTGTAAACAATACATATATGCTGTTTCCTAGGCTATTGTGTTTTATCAATTATTAAATATAAATATATAACATATGAATTATAAATTTTGTGATCGATTGTACGCCATTTAATTTACTACAAATACACATGTACACAATATAACCGGCTGCATTAAACCTTTGTACTGCGAACGAACACACGTGGAAAAAAGCATTTAGAATGAATGCGTATAAATAAAAACCAATGATATGATAGCGTTTGGAGCATCTTCGTAGAATTAGTAACTTTTAAATAACTTATTAGAGAATGGATGAGCTGCATTTTAATTGACGAGAGAATTCGTATTAGAAGCCAATTATATAGGGATGACAAAATATTTTTCAACTGACAACAAATTTGTGGAGAAGAATCAACCATTTAATGTTGCCAGGCTAGAAAGCCCTACTTTTTGGCGTGCGTGCTTTAGTGCATATACATATTTGTAGGTTTGTTTATGTTTCACATTTTTTATTGAACTCTTTTAGGCAAACATTCTATAAATATCAGATGGACGGACATACAGCAAGATACAGTAAGATACAGTAAGATACAGTAATATACATATACAATGTACAAATAAAACCTAGACGCCTAACACTACATTAGTATAATTACGTTATGATATGATATGTATAATACTGTATAATAACAATATACGCTATTAAACAGTTAATGTAATGAATAATTTAATAGCATGCACGACCATAAATTATTATTATGAATGCATAATTACTATTTTGTAAATAATAGTATTGATTATCTTACTTTTAATTAGTCATCAAACTCTCGTCTTGCATTATCAAATATGCAACAGTAAAGACAGAATAATAATACTCTAATATACTACCAAGAATAGATAATCATTGATCTTCTAAAGATAAACATTTGTGATTGGACAAATAGTATATAGTGTTAAATGATTAACTGTATATGGAGTGTAAATAAATAACAATGTAGTATTACCGTCTAATACACATTGTGCTACAAACTTTGATGTATAAGTCAGCAAATTCACGGATTGGATGGAAAGTTGTGGGGAAAGGGCGCGTGGGATTCCTTTTGGATAAAAGGTAACCCGTATACAAAAAAACCGGTATTAAGACATTTATAAACATTGTATATACAGTATATAAATAATTGTAATAATGTATATAAGTTATAGTATTATATTATTATATATATGTTATGTTATATGAGAATAAATTGGTAAGAATCATCGAAGAGAGTACTACACGTAGACCCTGAATCCCTGACAATCTAATTTATACTTACCGTAACAAATATTACGGAAATGATACTAGTAACTTATAAATAGCAATGAGTATGATAATTTAGAAAGGCTGGCTGGGCTAAAGTGATAGATAGAGCATGCATAATCATACATGATAAATTAATTTGATGTTTTGACCACGCGCATAAATTGACGTATTTATTGCCTTTGATGCCATTGTTGTCGTTTAATAGGCTTAATTCTTAAAATTTTTTATGTGTTAGATAATAATTGGATCCCAAAATTCCCTGCAAAGTTTGGGTTGTAAGTTAACAACATGGCACGTGTTCAAATGAATCAGCCAATCAAATCGGATTATAATTATAACAATTCATTACGGCATTAACCGTCCATTGTTTTATATTCTTGACTATTAAAAATTCTTGTAATACTTGGTAAATACTTGTATAAAATATAGTAATATATTCAATTCCTAACTAAATTTGGTAATTTGGAGAAAATTGTTTATCAAAAAATACAATATTACATTTCATTCATTCTGCACATAACTAGTTACTACATGATATTGTCTTAAAAAAGCCTGTGGAAACGAATATATCACGTGTAAAAATGTGTCAGTTCAATCAATTTCTATTCAAATAATCGTTACATCACATTTGAAGTTTCCTATTTTATCTAGACTTAGACGTGATCGAATCCTGTAATAGAAACCTGTCATGATACTTTTATGCATTGAAATCGTTTCGTTAGATATTTTGTAGATACAGTACATACGTGTTGACTTGCATCTTGGTGACCCCCCCGCCTAAGATTATATAAATTTTCTTAACCTATTCCCTATATTACCACGTTTTTACGTACGTATAATTTTTTTAATAACAATATTTTTTTTTTTTTATAATGACTTGCTACTAAAGTTACTATTTATATACATTCCATTGGATGCGTAAAGACCAATCGGTATCGAATAAGAGTGGACTTTTTCATACTTTTTCATCGGGCTTACTACCGGTACAATGGCCATTATCTATTTATTTCATTTGCGGATATTTAGAAATAAATATAAACAATATATTATTGTGTGATATTTATTAAGTTGTCAAAATTTCTGATGTCTCGACAGTTGATGTGCTTTGTGTGCATTGTTTTTGTTATTTGTGTGCTCACACTTCAGCCAACAACATGTCTAAAATAGTAGATTACTTTATTATTGAGTTGTTTCCGTTTTAAAACAAAAAAAAAAAAAAAAAAAATTCTGCAATCATATATATTTATATGACTCTCTCGGAATTTACCAAACTACTTGACCCTTTAATCACTAACGAGCTTAACGACCATTTTTTTTTTTAACGACTTTAATATTTTGCTGGCTTCTATATCAGCTCTATTCTGGTCTTCTTAAACCCTCCTTCCCTTTCACTTCTTAACGTCGTAAATATATAAATTCATCAAATATATATATAATATATTATTACGTAATTTATAATTCTATATAAAATATAAAAAAAAACTATAAATTATACCTCACGATTGTTATTGCCCCGATTTCTCACGATAAATCTTTAAACGGTTTCACTTATTAATGAAACCAATCGTTACGCAAATTCAACGAATCATCCTTTTTATATATATAAGAGCTCGTATACGATTTTGTTATTCTTTTTAAGAGTTTGTTGTTAACTGAAGAAATATATTGGCTCCTGATATACACAGTCGACTGCCCTACTATTCTCCTCTCTTACAGTATTATCGATCGAGATATTGCTTTTTCCCGTCTTACAATGCCTCACGCCACAGAGACATTGAACTCCTCGACTGGTAGTGCTTCTGTCTTGTCTTCATTGCCTATTTCAATTCCGAACAGTCTGTACGCTCACGATATTTCCACGTCTTTAGAGCAGTCAGTCTCTTCCAAGTATGTGTTTTCCTTGTTCTAGCTTTGTTGAAATTTCGTTAATCTTTCACTATTCCGAGATTCCGATCTTTGATCTCTTTCGCTATACTTTTTATGATTTAAATAAAAATTATTTTAAATCTATTCTTATTTTATTTTACCCTTTCCTAAAATTATCTTTTAAATTTCTTTCTTAAAAAAATTTTTTTTATTCAAGCTTTTTGTACTAAATCCTTTTTGATTTCTAGTTCATATTCGGATTACGTGCATAATTCTTTGCCATGCTCGGCTGATGATAATTCAAATGTTGGTCATGATCAAGATTTATATTTTAGTTACTCTACGGACAGTGTCAATTTTACTCCTTCGTCCGATTCTCAATTGAAAGTTCTTGAGGCTACTCATTGTCGCGATAATATATGCTGTAACAAAGATCATGGAAATTTACATGATCTTTTACAACATATTGATTTAACCCATCCACGACTTAAGGTCATAGATGGAGTAATCTTCCCCTTTGAAACCAGTACTATCTATACACAATGTGAGTCACCTTGTCACATGACTATAATTTCTCCGGTATTAATTGCCGGAAAATGTTCCGTCAGTAATTTATTGTTAACGGTTTTCGTTATGATCAAGCAGACAACGGGCTTCCAACTTTTAATACAACTCCTATTGGTTTCGTACACTCTTCCGTGACAAATTCCTCCCCTCACAGTCCCTCTCATCATTCAAAGTCCAGTCTTAATTTGTCAGAAGATATCAACTTCAATACTTATATAAATGACACTCCACCATCATCTATCATTGGGAAACAAAAATGGTGCAGTATCTCTCAAAACCTTGGGCAAGAAAATGGTTCACAAGATGATAAATCATGTGAATCTGACACCAACTTTCATTTTCCATATCAGTTCTCAATGATGTGTGAAAATAAAAATGCGTTATATCCTTCGAGAAATTTTAGTATTGATGAGCCAACATATGTTCGTGAAGCTTCAAATTCCTCTTCAATATCTAATAGTTATAATGATGATTCTGCCATGTCGGGTCCTTTCCAAATAAATGCTGATCAAGATCCGTTATTATCTGTCCAATCTCCTTCAATTTCTTATCCATCCACTCCTGTAGAAATGATTGATACTACTGATTCTTCGACGTTTTTGCGTTCCGCAACGTCTTCGCCTACTAATTTAGGTGATTTTTCGACTTTCTCAGTTTTGGATAATCAGACATCAATGTTAATTTCTTCGCCACCATCAGCTCCTAATAATATAAGTCTACAACGACCTCAATCTATGATAACTAAATCAAATAATACGACAAATTCTCATAATTATGGTTCATTTAACATTTCGGACTATACCCCTTACGTATCTCAGCTAAATGGACCATCCTCAATTTCTCAATCTGATCAACGCAGGCGTTCATCAACCACAATTCTTAATTCTAATGGTTCTAATACAAATACATCAACGCCTCAACAAAATTTTAATTCTATGGGCATGTCTCCAAATATTAAATCTAGTAATCAAAGAAGATCTTCTTCAGGTATTAAATTTATATACTTTTAAATATACTATTTATTTATTTTCATAGTAATAATTGAATTCTGATAAAATAACAGCTACGATTTCTATCACGAACATTAATGCTGGTAATAATAACCAGCGAAGAGGATCTTCCGATTCTAATTTGTTGATACAACAAACTTCTTTTATGTCAAATTTTGTTTCATCTCAAAGATCTGACGCAATTGGTTCGGATTCGAATTTTTCTCAGCCTAGTACTTCAACTATTGTAGTGACTCATGATTAACATAGACAATTACCTTCATATTCTACAGTTGATCCTAATTTATTGGTTAGTCAACGATCTACATATGTTGAGATGAATGACTTTATGTCGGCAAATACCAATTATCTACATGGAGATAATACTACACCTAATCCTAATAAATCTTCGACCTATACGTCTATGATTGTTCAAACTAATTCCACTTCTACGAAATCTAATGATGCACGTGGCCCTTGTAAACCTGGTTCATTTCAAAAAGCGACCTCGCCAACCGATAATACTTCTATGGGTTCATATTTACCTCCGGTTTCCACTACATCGTATCCAACTGACGGTTATTCTATGGTAGGGTTCGTATCTTCTGGATCGACAAACTCTGGATTGGTTAGAATTCTTCCAAAAACCAGTACTGGTATGTTTTTTTATCTTGTCTAATCTTTATTATTTAATAATACAGGTAATTAATACAAAATATTATTAGGAATGGTCGCAATGGCGGACATTTACGCTGATCCTGCTTTAACTTCAGCTGATGGATTTCTTCAAGGGAAAAAATTCCCTAAGAAAAGGATTATATCAGCAGATACAAGGTCGTGTAAACGTCGTGTTTCAAAGGTATTGTAGGGTTAAAATTTTTTTTTATCTTGCTTTAAATGTAATAAATTTATTGAAATAATTTGTTTTTATGTTAATAGTCATTGGAGACTTCTAATATTTCATCAGTTACCGTTTTGACATCTGATG